CTCCAACACATCTGCCGGCGAACAAAATTATAACATATATATATATATATATATATATATATATATATATATATATATATATATATATATATATATATATATATATATATATATATATATATTCATATAGTCGGACTTGAGTCCTGGAAATGGAAGTACAATGCCTGCACTTTAAAGGAGTGGTTTGGGATATTGGCAGTTTGGAGGGATATGTTGTGTATCTCTATACGTATATGCTTCTAAACTGTTGTATTCTGAGCACCTCTGCAAAAGCAGTGATAATGTATGTGTGTGGTGAAAGTGTTGAATGATGATGAAAGTATTTTCTTTTTGGGGATTTTCTTTCTTTTTTTTGGGTCACCCTGCCTCGGTGGGAGACGACCGACTTGTTGAAAATATATATATATATATATATATATATATATATATATATATATATATATATATATATATATATATATATATATATATATATATATATATATATATATATATATATATATATATATACAGCAAAGCAACCACTGTGAGAAAAATAGTGAACTTCCAAGTGCTTTCGTGATTTCTCACATTATCGAAGAAATGTAAAAATAATAAAATAGCAGAAGGCTTATAAGGCTGAAATATCACCTCACATATATATACATACATACACAACCTGTTAAACATATTTCATTGTCTATATAACGAGAAAATAGAGAGAGAGAGAGAGAGAGAGAGAGAGAGAGAGAGAGAGAGAGAGAGAGAGAGAGAGAGAGAGAGAGAGAGAGAGAGAGAGAGAGTTTAGGTAGGTGTGTCTGCAAGTATGAAGACATTGAGCGTCACCCAGCCAGTGTTGGTGTGTGAGAGGAGCATCCCTAAGCTTGGACCAGTCGTGCAGCAGGCGTCGCAGCAGCAGCAGGCACAACACGGCGTCCTGGCCAGCTTCGGGCCCACCTCCTACACTCTGGGTCCTGCTGGCTAGCGGCACCACCACCTTGTCGTACTCCTCGAGGTACCTGTACAACCAAGTCCCAGGATCATGTCACCTTAGTCGGGTAAGAGACGGTATAAAATACTCACAATCTGTGAAGTACATGCCCAGTGTTAACGTATTTTTTTAATAAAGAAGCGTTTCGCCATGAATGGCTTTTTTCAGTTCTGAAGAGATTCGTGGCGAAACGTTTCTCCAAAGAAATATTCTAACACTGCTCATGTCTCTTATTTCACATCACCTTCCCACCACGACTGTCACACAATGTCTCAGTCACATAATGTTCCAGTCACGTGTGTCAGACACAATGTTTCAGCCACACAATGTGTCAGACACAGTCTTTCAGTCAAACAATGTGTCAGTCACAGTCACATAATGTGTCAATCACACATTGTGTGACTGACAAACACTCAAGAGGAAGATCTGGGTCAGATGACCAAGAGCTTCACTGAGCGTGTCATTCATTGCTAATAAACAAAAAATAAATACTAGATGTCAACTTAATGTAATTACCTCTTTTCAACTACACATTCGTAGTCACAAGAACAAAGCTGTGATCATGGTGGAAATACTAGGACGTGTTTCCTTAAGATATCTGCTGTCCCTGTTCACCTAGCAGTATAATAGGTACCTGGGTGTTAGCAGACTGGTGTGGGTCGCATCCTGGAAACAAAATTGACCTAATTTGCCCGAAATGCTCTGCAAAACAAGGGACTTTCTTTATAGTAGTATGTCATTACCTGGAGATTACCTGGAGAGAGTTCCGGGGGTCAACGCCCCCGCGGCCCGGTCTGTGACCAGGCCTCCTTAGGTCAGTGTCCCAGGATGCGACCCACACCAGTCGACTAACACCCAGGTACCCATTTTACTGATGGGGAACATAGACAACAGGTGGAAAGAAACACGTCCAATGTTTCTACTCTGGCTGGGAATCGAACCCAGGCCCTCACCGTGTGAAGCGAGAGCGTTAACCACCAGGCCACCAGAGCTAGGACTGTATACCTTGTACATGTACTTTTAGAAATTAAGGTTGTCATTATTATTATTATTATTATTATTATTATTATTATTATTATTATTATTATTATTATTATTATTATTATTATTATTATTATTATTATTATTATTACTTATGTATTTGCCACAAGTTCCAAGAATGATGCTTAGTAAAGCTCTGACACCTAGACAACGGTGTAGTAATGTGTCTAATCTAGCATACAAGGTACTTGATTTTATATCTAGAATCTTTACTAACAGGAATATTAATATTAGAAGTCTATACACTGTATATTTACAACCTTCATTATGTATGTGGCAACACGGACGCATTGTCAACTTGTACGTATACTATGTCAACCTACAAACGCCTTATGTCACCTAATATATAGCATGACAACCTACACATGACCTATGTCAATTTATACTTTAGTCTTTTTCTTTACACATGACATAAACATTGATAGTTGTATATATCTCAAGGCATATACACTGATATGTATACATTTCTCTCAAAATATATACAAAGAGTTCGCTTTTAAGGATTAAATCATTCTTGAATTGCAGCCTTGATGATCAAGGTTCAATGAACCTTAAACCTGGCAAACCACCTGACAGAAGAGGCATGACTACTGACCTGGCCACCAAATCGAGGTGTGTCAGGAAATATGGATGCAGTACAGTGTCTTGAAGATGTTTCTCCTGCTGGTGCTGACGCAGATAAGTCCTCAGGTACGTGCTGATGATGGTGTCGAGTGAGTGAATGTTGGAAAACTCCTCCACACTCAGGCCCACCCCCACGCCTTCCACCACGCCCACTAACAATAGATAACACACCCACATCATCAACAGGCGTCCGAGTCCTCTAACCTATAAAAAAAAGAGTCAAGTAATCGTGAATAGACAGCTAAAATGAGAAAAAGAAATCTAAATTCATTTATATTGCTAAGATACCAACAACCATAGCTTAGTAGGGGGAGTTGCAGCTATCAACACAGGTTTGGGGATTAAATCTCCAGCCCGAAAAATAATTCAAAATTCCCATTTCCAGTCTTCTGTTGTTTGTATATCTGTATTTATAGTTACAATTAACTCGAAAATTCAGCCTGATCACCAAATTACTATATTTGATTTTAATAAGTACTACCTAAATTTATGCTACTCTAAGATGCTTCTAAGTATTAGGCTATATTATGTTTTTATAATTTTATCAAGTTATGTGAGGTTCCTATGTTAGTTTTATTGTAAAATAAACAAAAGTGTAAACTATGTTACCATGCAGAATTTCTTCATCAATGCTTAAGAAAAAAAAAATCGATTTTTTATTCGTACCCAAGAAAACACGACGCACTAAACGTTTTCTATAAACCTCAGTTACTTAATGCATTTTTATAACATTTCTCCGGCTGCATCTCCTTTTAGTAACGTCTTTCTTCATTTCTTTCTCAGTAGTATCATGAGTAACAACAAGAGCGGAAGAATCAACAACAGCAAAAAACAACAGAATAATTGCAGCAGCAATACCAAAAACAGCAGCAGCAGCAGCAGTATATACATCAGAAGCAGCTACAAAGGCAACGTCGGTAGCACCAGCAAAAGCAGCAGCAGCAGCAGCAGCAGCAGCAGCAGCAGCAGCAGCAGCAGCAGCAGCAGTAGCAGCAGCAGCAGTAGTATCATCAGCAGCAGTAGTAGTAATAGTAGTAGCAGCAGCAGCAACAGCAACAGCAGTAGTAGTAATAGTAGTAGTAGCAGCAGCAGCAACAGCAGTGTAGTAGTAATAGTAGTAGTAGCAGCAGCAGCAGCAATAGCAACAGCAGTAGTAGTAATAGTAGTAGTAGCAGCAGCAGCAACAGCAGTGTAGTAGTAATAGTAGTAGTAGCAGCAGCAGCAACAGCAGTAGTAGTAATAGTAGTAGCAGCAGCAGCAGCAGTAGTAGTAATAGTAGTATCAGTAGTAGCAGTAATAGCAGCAACAGCAGCAGCAACAGCAGTAGTAGTAATAGTAGTAGTAGCAGCAGTAGTAATAGTAGTAGCAGTAGTAGTAGTAATAGTAGCAACAGTAGCAGCAGCAGCAGTAGTAGTAGTAGTAGTGGTAGTAGTAGCAGCAGCAGCAGCAGCAGCAGCAGCAGTAGTAGTAGCAGCAGTAGTAGTAGTAGTAGTAGTAGTAGTAGCAGCAGTAGCAGCAGCAGCAGTAGTAGTAGTAGTAGTAGTAGTAGTAGTAGTAGTAGCAGTAGTAGTAGCAGCAGCAGCAGTAGCAGCAGCAGTAATAGTAGTAATAGCAGCAGCAGTAGCAGTAGTAGTAGTAGTAGTAGTAGTAGTAGTAGTAATAATAATAGCAGCAGCAGCAGTAGTAGTAATAGTAGTAGTAGTAGTAGTAGTGTTAAAACAGTAACAGAATAGTAGTTTTAATATCAGTTGTAATATAAAAAACAGAAGCAGTAATATCAAGACCATTAGAAGAAATAACAGTAACAAAGTCAAAAGTAGTAACAACAAAAATAACAAACAACAACAGCAACACGAACACCAACAGCGGAAACAATAACATAAAAGCAGTAACAACAACCATAAAAACAACAGCAACAAGAGAAAGATCACCACTAACAACAGCAGCATCAACATTAGCGACAGTAGTAGGAATACAAAACAGCAGTAGCAACACCAACAGAAATAACGACAGCAATAACAGCAGGATCAACGTCCCCCCGTAAACCACAGAAGCAACAGCAATGTTGCACTTACGACGATGTTTCGGTCCGACATGAGCCATTAAGAGGCACGTAAGTTCCCCCGTCTTCTAATAACATGTTTATTTTTCCACTATAATCTACCTCGTCCATAATTACTATCGCATTTACTTTGTCTGTTTCGTAAGGTGAAGTCCAGGATCTTTCCTTAATTCATGGTATAACTTGTAGTGTTGTAGATGTCGGAGCTTCGCTCACACCTCTACAACACTATGGTCATCAGAGATTTGTTAAGTTATACCATGAATTAAGGAAAGATCCTGGACTTCACCTTACTAAACAGACAAAGTAAATGCGATCGTAATTATGGACAAGGTAGATTATAGTGGAAAATTGAACATGTTATTAGACGGGGGAACTTACATGCCTCTTAACCTGTCACACAGCTACAAGAACGAGAGTAGAAAAAAAAACACTAACTTTACTTCGTAAGAATCAATTACATTATTATCTTTATGATTTACGTGTATAATGAATGAATATTACTTGTTCATTGAAGTAATATTATACAAGGAGAGTAAATTGCAACACATCATTATTTACGCCGCCGCCCGTCATTTGGATAACTATCTACACGACATTGAACTCTCCCAGTGTAGTAATTTCGTACCATATGGTGTTACATGTGTCGTGGTTTGTTTACACTGGTCAGCTGTTTACTGAGTGCATTTACATCCTTGCATGCGTGTGACTACCTATTTACAGTTACAGGAGTAGTCTCAGTTTTAGAACTCACCTCTTAACTGGCTGTTACTGCTTTCACTACCTCCAGCCTCGCGGGTCCAATGGTACCCACTCATAGGCTGTGTATGAAAGTCTACCTCCATTCCTATCTTCGTCCAGGTCATTCCACTTCCTGACCATCTTACGGATGAAGAAATATTTCCTAACATCACAATGACTCATCTGTCTTTAAATTCCAACAGAGCCCACGTGTTCCCGTTTTCCTGTCTTCCCTATGAAATATGAGAAAATCTTTCGCATTAATCACGTATCCCATGGACCTTCTCTTCTCTAAAATCTCTCCTAATAGTCTCTTCCGTATAGTTCCTGGTCTCGATTCGAATTTCTGCATTTTTCTAGCTTCTTAACATTGTTTATCAGGTGAGTTCCATGCTGGTGCTGCGTACTCAGAGACCGGCTATGTTTTGTGTGTGAGCGCATGAGCACGTACCTCAAAGTTCATGCCAGTGACACGTGTGTGTTACCAAGTGCTGATGTGTGTGTACTCACCTGTTTGTACTCACCTGTTTGTGGTTGCAGGGGTCGATTCATAGCTCCTGGCCCCGCCTCTTCACTGATTGCTACTAGGTCCTCTCTCTCTCCCTGCCCCATGAGCTTTATCACACCTCGTCTTAAAACTTTGTATGGTTCCTGCCTCCACTATGCCACTTTCTAGGCTATTCCACTTTCTGACAACTCTATGACTGAAGAAATACTTCTTAATATCCCTTTGACTCATAGGAGTCTTCAACTTCCATTTGTGACCCCTTATTTTTGTGTCCCATTTCTGGAACATCCTGTCTTTGTCCACCTTGTCAATTCCTCGCAGTATTTAATATCTCGTTATCATGTCTCCCCTGGCCCTCCTGTCTTCCAATGTCGTCAGGCCGATTTCCCTTAACCTTTCTCAGTAGGACAATCCCCTTAGCTCTGGAGCTAGTCTTGTTGCAAACCTTTGCACTTTCTCTAATTTCTTGATGTGCTTGACCAGGTGTGGATTCCAAACTGGTGCTGCATACTCCAATATGGGCCTGGCGTATATGGTGTACAGAGTCTTGAACGATTCCTTACTGAGGTATCGGAACTGTATTCTAAGGTTTGCCAGACGCCCGTATGCTGCAGCAGTTATTTGGTTGATGTGCGCCTCAGGAGTTGTGCTCGGTATTATAATCACCCCAAGATCTTTTTCCTTGAGTGAGGTCTGCAGTCTTTGGCCACCTAGACTATACTCTGTTTGCGGTCTTCTTCGCTCTTCCCCGATCTTCATGACTTTGCATTTGGCGGGGTTAAATTCAAGGAACCAGTTGCTGGACTAGGCTTGTAGCCTGTTCAGGTCTCTTTGTAGTCCTGCCTGATCTTTGACCGATTTAATTCTCCTCATTAAATTCACATCATCTGCAAACAGGGACACTTCTGAGTCTATCCCTTCCGTTATGTTATTCACATATACTAAAAACAGCACAGGTCCTAGGACTGACCCCTGTGGAACCCCACTCGTCACAGGCGTCCCTTTGTGTGTGTGTGTGTGTGCTCTCACCTATTTGTGGTTGCAGGGGTCGATTCACAGCTCCTGGCCCCGCCTCTTTGCTAGTCGCTGCTAGGTCCATTCTATCCCTGCTCCAAGAATCTTATCGTACCTCTTCTTAAAGCTGTGTGTGGATCCTGCCTCCACTATTTCACATACACACACTGTGTGTGTGTGTGTGTGTGTGTGTGTGTGAGCTACTGATGACGTGTGCGTGTTGGCCAGCAGCCAGCAGCAGTACAGAGTGTTAATAAATTCGTAGGGAAGCGCTAAACCTGTAAGCTGTGCATCACCTGGCGAACGGGAGACAATTAGATTCGACGCAAGAGAGGGGTAGCTCAAATTCCTTAGATGAAGAACCCTTCATGAAGATGAAGATTCCCGCTTGAGGGGAGTAGAGGCCCTGGAGTGGCAGGAACAAGGTGTCACTGCTCCACTATCTTACTCACCCACAGACGCCATCATCAGCTCTCCTGACGGAAATGCCTGGCTGACAACGTGCGGTGGGTGCATCCTGCGTACGTGTACTGATAGAGGGGAACACACGCAGGAGGAAAGAGGAGAGGGCCCATGGGGAAGGGGAACACATGCAGGAGGAAAGAGGAGAAGGCCCCTGGGGAAGGGGAACACACTCAGAAGACAAAAGAGGAATAGGGAAGGAAACACAAGCAGAAGAGAGGAATCCTGAGATGGGAACAGAAGCAGTAGAAGAGAAGAGAAAGGCCCTAAAGAAGAGGAAGAGTGTCAGTAGAAGAGAGAGAGGCCCTGGGAAGGGAAGACATGGTAAAGGAGAGAGCAGGGGACCAACACCGTCCACTACTACTGTGCCTGACCCTCACCACACACACGCCATCACACTGCCTTCACTGTATCTCC